CAATTTATCATCCGGAGAGAACACTGCATCACTAATACACCGTCAAATGGCAGCCCTTTGAATTTTTGGGTTTGGGCCTATCCTCTGTTCGGCCTTAGGTTTTATCGTATCTCGTTTCGCTTTCTTTTGGGTGTTGGTTTTTGGGCTCTTTTCGAGACTACAAAGCCCAACCATCCCTCCCTGTACATTTTTATACATTTATAAAAATTCTGGGATAAAAATAAAAATACAATTAATCTAATTAACCAAATTCAGTTAATCTAATTAATAATCTATGACAAGGTCAGTTAATCTAATTAATAATCTATGACAAGGTCGGTTAATCTAAGGATTGATCGGAAAAGCAAGGCGGAGTCGACAAGCTTCAAATTACCGAAAGAAGCATTGTCGGTGGCCGGAGATTAAGTATTTTCACTGCTTCTTGATGGGTGAAATTAAATTATATGTGATGGCCGGAGTTTAGTATTTTTCATTTCCATTAACTTATAAAAAATACACACATTTCCATGAACATAAAGCTTGTCTAGATGCTTTTGATTAACTTCGAACTCTTCAATCATCCGTTTCTATTATGCAACCTACAAATTGGTCATTACCATTTGAGATTATGTGTGATGCTTCCGATTTTGTAATGGGAACCGTCTTTAAGGCAAAGGCTAGATAAGCTTCCATATGCCATATATTATGCAAGTAAAACTTTTTCGGGAGATCATTCAAAATAAATGAAATAAAAATCTAAAAAGTCTAATCATCAATAAAAAAGAAGTAATTTACACCCTCTCCTTAAAATTCACCCATTTTTTGTTGCTTAGTTTGCCCCTTTTTGTTGCTGGTGTATTTGGAAGCTCGAAACTATCCCATTTACATATATATATATATATATATATATATATATATATATATGCAATTTCAAGAACAAGTTGCATCCTAGTTTTCCAAAATAAACTTGATAATTGATCCCTAACTCCACTTTTCCATTTTATATGTCATCGTAGTTGCATGACATTCATTCAAATAATTTTCTGGATTAGATTTTTTATTTTTAGGCAAAGTAGACACTTATTTTCGAACACATTGCCTTCACTTACATTGCCTCCACTTGAGACTCAAACCCCCAACCTCTCATAGAGGGAGAGGCCATACCCAGGGTAGTTTTGGGACAAGGCCACCAATGCAGTCGCCTAGAGCCTCCAATTTGGAAGAGCCTCAAATTTAGTATGTACCATAATGTAATATAGTAGTTTATGTATAAAATATCACCACTTTCTATAATTGAACGTAACTAACATTTTAATATCCATTTCACATTATAATTTTCATAATTAATGTACAATACATAATCACATATCATGTAAATTTATGGCAATGAATAACTTTAAAAAAAAAAAAAATTTCCTAAAAATAAACACGAACTTATAATATCAATTTATATATGTAATACAATAGTTTATAGGGTAAAAACCACTATTTGTTTCTATCCTTTCCTTCAAAAGAAAAATTAATTTTTTATATATTTAAACAAGAAACTGATTTATTTTATTATTATATTAATTTTGGGTTCAGGTGCATGCATGACAGTTAAATCGAGTTCAAACAATCACATTTTTAATTCATGGATGCAATCAAATGTCAAATTTTTAACTCAGCTCAATTGAAACAATAAAATTATGATAGTGATTGAAGTACTTTAATTAATTTATAATTTTGCATCTCAAAATGTAAGACGGTCACATTTATATTGATATGATTGAATTTTGATTTTTGTGACTAAGTTATGTTTAATATTTTTAAAATTTTTGATGTAAATTAGATTGTACTCTTTGTAAAGCACCAAGACCGATTTTCGCTTTGTGTGTTTTCAACCTTAATATATTTTATTTGTTTATCATCTGATTTTAATATAAATTTCGCACTCATATAAATTTTTTACTAGTATGAAATCTTATATATATATAGAGTATAGCATTTGAAAATTCGTCTAAAACTTCTTATCAAAATTTTAGAAATCTTAGCCCCGGTCATACCAAGCCAATGGTTAAGTGGTGTGAAAGAATTACAGAGCTGAAGAATTTCGTTACATTTTCCAGTTGGAATGAGATTAATGGACATTAATGCCGGTCTGTGCTCAAGTTGTTGAATTTGACCCCATGAAAATTCCTTGTTCCTTCGAATTTTCACAGAGAGATCAACATTCACTGTATTTGACCAAAGAAAGAATTAGTATAACATTCACAGCGGACGGCTAAGAATGGCTTCCAATCCGCAATAAATTTTGTCTTTATTGGTGATAACATGATTCCAACCACAACAAGCTTAAGACTTGGTAAGCAGATTATAACGCTGTAATATATATGTTTTGAGGATTATTACAGATATACGGTGATACGGGCTATATTTATCATTTGATGAAGTTATATTCATGATATTTTGAAAATATGAAGTTGATCAAAATGTTAAAATCTATATGAAAAAATACTATTTATTGGCCAAAATTACCTTTTAAGCAAGTACTTTTTTGGTGCATAGAGTTAGATAGCACTCTTATATATGCATGTATTATTTTTTGTGGAGACCATGTTATCAGGTGTATACGCATACATGATCATATTTATGTATACAAAAATGATACCTATGTGCAGAAAAGTGGTACTTATATACGCAAAAGTTATACTTTAAAATAGTAAGGGTAGTTTGGACAATAAACAATGTTTTTCTATGTTTAACATTTTGATAAACTTTATTTTTATTTTTTAAAATATCATGACTTTAACTTTATTAAATAGTAAATATGACTCTAGAAATTCATATATCTGTAATAATCCATTTAAGGTTATTTGAATTTCAGTATTTTGAGTAAACTACCAATTTTTCATCCATGTTTCCAAAAGTCGCGTCAATTACAATTCAATAAAGACACAAAGTCTTTAGAACTATATTTCTTCCACGACAATTTTTTTTTTTTTTGGAAAAAAAAAAAGAGAGTCAAAGTTGTATATTTTCTACAAATATCTAAGCCAGTTCAAACTGTATAGAGGTTGTGTGCAGAGCCGTTGTTGAATCCCAACATATTGATTTTCAAAGATTTTTTTTTTTTTTTTTAAAAAAAAGAGTCAAAGTTGTATATTTTCTACAAATATCTAAGCCAGTTCAAACTGTATAGAGGTTGTGTGCAGAGCCGTTGTTGAATCCCACCACATTGATTTTCAAAGACTTAAAAAAAAAGAGTCAAAGTTGTTTGTTTTCTACAAATATTTAAGCCAGTTCAAACTGTATAGAGGTTATGTGTGCAAGCAAAGCCGTTGTTGAATCTCACCGTATTGATTTTTCAAAGGCTTAAACAAAATTCCTGACTTTTTAACTTTTCCTTACGCCTAGAATATCTCAGCTGTTGAACAATGTCAAAGGCATGGAAAGGGACGGACGTTGTTCGAGTCTTCAAGCCGTCACATTCAAATTAATGCAACTCCGGTCTTCTTGTCCGGTCCCATCACTAAAGGTGACGGAAAAGAATGAGGAATATGTACCTCTTCTTTGTTGACACTGTTTTTAGGACCATGAAAAATATAGGAAGGGGGATAAATTTACTTTTGGCATTATTTTTTGAGTTTGATAGTGGTCTGTAAAATGTGCGTAATATATACTTAGATAATAAAAAAAATTCACCTTATTTATAGAGGTATACTTTGGACGGTGTTTGGTCACGCTAAATCGAAGTTTCTAATACTTCAGCTCACGCAGAATTTAAAGTTCTAACACTTTAATTTGGGTTAAGTCCTATCATGACATACTGTTATGAGATTTTTCGAATTTATTGGGTGATTCCAAATTTTAATAACGTATAAGCAAATAAAGATTTAAAAAAATTAATGTTATGTTTACAAACCTAAATAGTCCAAAGATGTAATAAAAATTAACTAAAGTATGTGTAATATAATCTCATAACAATAATATAATTTCATATGATGAATTCATAATTGACGATACTATAAATAATCTAATTTTAAATATAAAAGTTCTAAACTATTGTAATAATCCGATAAAATTTTTGAGCAGAAATCAGATTGTTGGAGTTAGTCCCACCCCTAATTATTTACACAAAAGTGGTTAATCCAAATTTGAAAATGATTTGTCAAGCTAAGTACCCTAGGAGCAATATATGGTACCAACAGTTGCCTCCATGCCTCATAGTCTATCTAAATATGTTTCTTAGTAGGGATTATTACATATAAATGGTGTTAATAATTCATATTTATCATTTGATGGAGTCGAGGTCTCATACTTTCGAAAAATGAAGACATGAAAAACATTCTTTACTTGATGTATCACATTTAAGCACATATGTATTACTTTTTTTGCATAGATGTACCACTTTTTGTCATCAGGTATCATTTTTTGTGCTGTATAAAATAGTGGTACTTGATATACAAAAAGTGATACTTATGTGCACAAAAAGTGATTTTTCTATACCCAAAATAAAAATGGTATCTAATGTACAAAAAATAATACTTAAGTGCATAAAAAGTGATACCTATGTGCCTAAAAGTAGTACTTCAATGAAAGTAAACAGCGTTTTTTTATGTCCACGATCAACATTTTGGTCAACTTCATTTTTTTTTCTAAACTATGAGAATTTGAATCCATCGAATAATAAATATGAATTATTAGCTCTATTCATATGTAATAATCCCTTCTTAATAAATATATTCGTAATAGTCAATCCAATTTATATAACATTTTTAACTCAAATAATAATAATAAATAAATAAATAAATAAAAGAATGACTTACACGACAACGAGACTTGTAATATTTTACTAAGAGATTCCAAGCAGATGGCTTAGAAACAAAGGTTTGTCTCGTTCTACGCACATACATGTTAAGGTCTTTTCACGCGGTGTCTAATGGTTAAAATCAGAGTTCATTCTATAGCTATTCACTTGTCACCCGAGCCCTATAAATACTCCCATCCAATCTCCCAAAAGCCACAACCTAGCCCACAATATATTTTTTTCGTGTTCCTCCATTGTCCTCATTTCATTTTCATTCTTTTTTGTGTGACTTCTCATTTCACTTTCATTCTCTTCACCTCTAAAAAGATCATGGCACTTGAGCAACTCATGTTGAAAGAGACTCGTCACGGCCGTGACAAAAAGTTGGATCTAATCCATGGACAAGGCCATGTCAAGGACATCAATCTGTCAACAACAACCACCAGTTCTCAAGTTTCCGATGACGCCAATGGTCCAAGGCTGGAATCCTTTAGGATGCTAGAAAAAGATGTCCCGGGTGGAGCTTCTCCCGAGAAGAGACTAGCATGGTTGCGGTCTCAAGTCATCGGTAATGATGTGGAGTTCGACACTCCTTTTGGAAAACGTAGGCTCACCTATGCTGACTACACTGCCTCTGGCCGATGTCTTCAGTACATTGAGAACTACATCCTTAAAAATGTTCTTCCATTTTATGGTGAGCGAGCTGTCTTCCATTTTATGGGTACCGACCGTACTGGCTATTAATTTTTCTACTAAAATAAAATTAAGTTTGTGTTAACATATTTCCATTTGTGTTAACAGGGAATAGTCATACAAGTGACAGTTTTGTGGGGCATAAAACTACAAAAATGGTGCATGAAGCAAGTAAGTATGTCAAGTCTTGCTTAGGGGGCAAAGACGAAGATGCAATCCTGTTTGTTGGCTCAGGCACAACGGCAGCCATTAAACGGCTTCAAGAGGTTATGGGACTTGCTGTTGCATCAACTATGAAGGAAAGGGTGTTGACGAGCCTTAGGGATGAAGAAAGATGGGTAGTTTTTGTTGGGCCATATGAACATCATTCGAACCTCCTCTCGTGGCGCCAAAGCTTAGCAGAAGTTGTAGAGATCGGTTTAGATCAAAATGGCCTAATCGACGTTAAAGCTTTAAGAAACCAACTCGAGTCATACCAACACACAAATCGTCCTATGTTGGGTTCTTTCTCAGCATGTAGTAATGTCACTGGAATTTACACAGACACACGTTCCCTCACTTTACTCCTACATCAATATGGTGCTTTCGCTTGCTTTGATTTTGCTGCAAGGTATGTAAAATGTTTGTTTGAGTTCATATGTTCTCAAGGAATTAAAATAGTAATATTGTTCAGTTGCTAATTAACATGCTTAATTTGATTTAAAACTTATACGTGCAGTGGTCCTTATGTGGAGATTGATATGAGATCTGGGGAGGTAGATGGATATGATGCAATTTTTCTTAGTCCACATAAGTTTGTTGGAGGTCCGGGTACCCCTGGAATTCTTCTAATGAGCAAGGTCCTCTATCAACTAAGATCTTCGCCGCCTTCAACTTGTGGTGGAGGAACTGTCAGTTTTGTCAATGGATTTAGTGAAAAGGTAATTTTACAAGTGTTTCTATTTGTGCTAAATATGAAAGTAACACACACACCCACAAGTTTTTATTGTGTGTATAAGGTTACTCTCTGGATGAATTTATCAATTACCAAGTTTGATAATATATATAATGGCTTGAATTAATGCAGGACACTCTATACTATGAAGATGTGGAAGAGAGAGAAGATGCTGGAACTCCACCAATTATTCAGAAAATGAGAACTGCAATGGCTTTTTGGGTAAAAGAATACATAGGTTACGAAGTGATCGAAAGGCAGGAGCACAATTTCATTGAAAGAGCGCTTGACAGGCTTCTAATGAATCCAAATATTTGGGTATTAGGAAACACTACTGTAAGAAGGCAGGCTATCTTGTCCTTCCTTGTGTTCTCCACGACAAACTCCTCCTCCGTTAATACGAAAAACAATCGCTTCATAGAGGAAAACGGTACAAGAGACGAAGGAACTTTCATGTGGAGAGAGTCCGGGAACATTAGAGATAAGCCCCTCCATGGTCCTTTCGTTGCAAAGCTCCTCAATGACCTTTTCGGCATTCAGGCTCGTGGTGGGTGCGCTTGTGCTGGACCTTATGGTCACCATCTCCTCCATGTTGATGAGCCTCATTCTGTCGCCTTCAAATCCGCCGTCCAAAAGGTACTAAATTCCCTAACGACTTATCATATCTCGACACTCTATATCATAGAAATTACTAATAGATTAATGATACAAAGAGTGCCCAATATTAAAAGCGTGCTTGGTTTGTAATTATGGAAATAGTTTTTAATGAAAATAAAAAATTGTATAAAAAAGTTTGCTTAGTTCAATTTTTTGAAAAATTCAAAAAGTCTGTTTTCAGATAACAAGTTTTTTATTATTCTCTGAAAACTGTTTTGTATTTTATGAGAGAACTATTTTTAGAGTTACAAACTAAACAGACCCTAACTTTTTATAAAAGTTTCATTTCACTTTTTTTTTAGATATTAAAATCTGCTATAAATTATGACAGGGTTACAACGGAGTGAAGCCTGGATGGACACGAATCAACTTCGCATTTCACATGTCAGCAGAAGAGTTCGAGTTCATTCTTGCTGCATTGGAATTCATAGCTACGTATGGCCAAAGGTTCCTTGTTCTTTATGACTTCGACTGGAAAACAGGCAACTGGACTTTCAAGAAGAAGGCATTGAAAGAGATGGAGGCTTTCAAATATTGTAGACAAGAATTCAACAACTTGTTGATGACTCATGCTTTACAATCGGCCAGTTTGGAAGACACTGAAGGAATGGCGAACGACAACACCATTGAGATGATCCACAATTATGTGTCTTACTTGGAGACTGCTAAAAGAATTGCTCATTCTCTTCCAAAGTTTCCTTTATCTAAACAGGTTCCGAAAGAGATAGATCTTAGCCTCGTGCACTTCAGAATCTAGACTTGAACATCTCTGACGCAGCTTTCTTCTCATAATAAAAAAGTACTTTTTACTTCAGAGTTGTATATTGTTGTTTGAAGATTTTCCATATTGAAGATATGTTTATTTTTTTATGTCAGAATAATAAACGAATAAAAGAAATGGAACATCTTGTTCCTTGTTTTTTTTTCCTTATGTTTTGTTGTGTTCTTTTCTTTTCTTTATTTCTTTGTTGTGTTCTTTCAATTTCTTTATTTCTTTCTCTTTCCTGTTGCTTTTTCAGTATTGGTCCGTGGCCCCCCCACCAAAAAAAAAAAAAGAAAAAAACAGACAACACCTAAAAGAGAGAAAAAAAAAATGGAACTTAACGGGTTTAGTACACATTTTGTTTTTGTTTTAACCTTTTAAATTTTTTTTAACTTAAAATAAAAAAAATATTTTGAATAATAATTAAAAAAAATATTTGACAACGTGCATTTGTTACACCAAAAAAAAAATTATGTATATATATATATATATATATTTAAAGATAAAAATAAGTATATTACTCGTAATTGTTTATAATTTACTGCCCAAAAGGGGTTGGCCAAAAGCCCAAACAAAAGACGAAAGAGGATACTTACAAGATAGCCCAATAGGACATGACCAAAGCCCACAACGAGCTCAACCCAAGAGGTTAGCTAACAGGTGATCGAAGTTTCAATTCCGGTAGATTCCATTACATAGTAAAGACGATAGATAACATTTTTGGTAAAAAATTATTACAAATTTGAAAAATATAATGATTAGTTTAAAATTTTATTTGATAATTTTTTATTTTTATTTTGTTTTTATTGGTCATCTTAGTTGTTAGTTGTTACCGTGCTGAAACATGTAAAAAACTAATTAGGGTCTATTTGTTACGAGTTTTGTTTTTGATGTTTTATTTTAACTCAAAATAAAAGAAGTATTTCTTGTAGAGTGTTTTGAATAATAATCGAAAACATGTTTGATAATGTCCATTTGTTGCAAGATTTTTTAAAATAAAAATATAAAAACATATTTGATAAAAAAATATTTCAAGTTCAAAAAATATAATGGCTATATTAAAAATGTTATTTAAGAGTTTGCCAACAACAAAAGAAAAAAGAAAATACTATTTATCACTACAGAACCAAATGTATAAAAACCTCGTATCGGTGTTTCGATTTTTGACAATCGTTCACGAAATGTTTTGACACTATGCAAAATAAAATAATTTTTACTAAATGCATTTTTTTTACTGTTCACTGTTACACTACTTTTAAAAAGGGTGATGTTAAAGTTTTTGGAACTGGATTTACGAGATATACAATTGAGGCAAGCAATACCAAATACAATTGAAGCTAAGCAGACTTATATATATATAAGAGTAACTGTACAAATGTACTTAATTGGGACATGTACCTCTTAAATTTGCTAAGCTCTAATTACAACAATTAAGATTAACTAATAAACCCTAACTAAGCAACTAGAAGACTATTAGTAACAGTTCAAACCCTAATTTCGACTTAGCCAAATGCTCTATTCCTCTTGAGAGCAGGTCTAATGGTGAGTGATAGGACGATTCTTGGCTGAATTTGAAGACTGGGCTGCTCCAATGGACTCTTCAAAAAGTGGGCCCCATGAAGACAATTTTGATCCAAGTTTCCAAAAATAAAGATTGGTTTGGTGAATTGCGGGCCCGAATCAGTTTTCTTTTTCTTTTTTAATTCTGGCTCAAACAGTGTTTTAGCCCAAAACACTGTTTGGTAAGGCCTGTTTGGCTGAAAAAAAAAAAAGGAAAAAATTAGTTTTTGGCTGATTTTGGTTTTTTTTTTTTTTTTTTTTTCCTCAAAATAATTAAACTAAAGAGCCATTAAGGCACTATTTGGCTTACACAAATAGTGCTTTAAAGGTTTTTTTTGAGAAAAAAAAGTTTAAAAAAAATAGATAAAAGTGCTTTTTTTTTAAAAAAATTGCTTTTTAAAATATTCCTACTGACATATAGCCGTTTTAGGCACTGTTTGACTGACCCAAAAAAGGGCATTGTTTTTTATTTTTAATTCAAGTTGTATTGTATTATTTTTTATTTTTATTGTATTGTTTAAATTAATGTCGTATCGTATTGTTTTTAATAATAAATATTCTATTGTTTAATTTTTTTATTTTATGATATAGCCGTTTTAAAAATTTAGCCGTTAGGAAAAAGTTAAAAAATAAAATTTGTTAAAAATTTTAAAAATATTAAAATATTTGGAGAGCGAAAATACACCATTGGAGTACACCCGATAGCTAAAATTTGGAGATTCTAAAATGTTGACGTGGCTATGAAAAATGCTGATGTGGTTATGGGAAAATACTAATGTGGCAAATTCGGAGAGTCCATTAAAGATGGGCAAAAATGGAAAATTCTGGCGGCTTAATGGGCAAAAATGGAAAATTCCATACTATATTTCTAGATAACAAAAAATGACCTCTCTCTATGGTGACAGCCATTCCGGCAAATCACGTATTGATGATGTGACAACTATTTAAGGGTACCAAGATAAACTCAAGCAAAATTTCGGGTTAATTTGATAAAAAATATCTTGCTAAGCATTAATTATTAATTTATTAGTAGATGGTAAATACTGAAAAATAATACGATAAAAAAACAATTAAGAAAAAGTAATTATAAGCATGTCAATTTTCACTGTCTGTGAATACATGGAAACCAAATTAACCTTAATTAAGTACATTTTGAAATTTACTAAATAACTCTTACTTCTCTTTCCATCTCATATCTATGCTTTACCGGCCAATCTAGCAATCATATATTACTAAGATTGCTTTATGTCGGTGACAAAGACCAAATCGGTGAAGTTAAGAAGACCCAATAATGACTTTCACGCCGGCAAAGATGAACCCAACAATGAACTTTATTAATTCCGGGGACCTCCAACTAGCAAATCATCGTAGCCCACTTGAATTATGACATAAAAACCCTACAAATATAAATATATGTATCGTTAGGTTCTTCCAAGAGGTTCCTCATCTTAACCCTTAGATTTATTTTATTTAGTCCTAAACATTGACTTTTTCATAGTTCGTACTGGGAAGACACATCATTATTCAACTTCATCATATCCAATTCATTGATTTTACAAATTTTTTTTATTTTTTTCCCTTTTCCTGGACACTATTTTACAAAACTTAATTCTTAATCAAATTTAGGTTGGGAGAAGAAGTAGCGGGGTCTTCCTCTGGTTGAAGACAAACATAATAAATTATTGTGAGATCGAGAAAAATTCACCTGATGGGTTATTTTGTTAAGAATAGTAACTCCTCCTACTAGTTTTGATACTAGTTATTGGGCATAGTAGAAGCATATCATCAGTCACGTGAAAGTCATATAACAATTGACCCAACATAATATTTACGTAGTTCACTCAATCTCTAAGGCTACATATTGGAGAAAGCTTTCACTACAATTAATGAACAAGATAATTACAACTTGCAGAGAATACACTCAACCCATCCCTTAAGAAGTCCATTTACCAACAACTCTCACCTTTGCCACCTGTAGAACTTAATTGCCACCGATTACACTTCGTGAAACCTGTTACATAATACTATACGGAGTACTCTTAATAAGAATTTGAGCCATCCCATAAGAAGTCCATCTACTAACAACTCTCACAGTTGCCACCTGTAGAACTTAATTGCCACCGGTTGCGTTTAAGTAAACCTGTTACATAATACTATACTTAAACAAGAATTTAAGTCACCGCTCAACAATTTTGACCATCCCTTGCTTTCATTATCTTTGCGGTTTGTATATTCTATATCATACACCTCCGTTTGTAGTATTTGGGTTAAGCTAATTGGGTTACCCTGCATTTCAACCCGGATTAAGTTCGATTTCTAAATTAACTTTAATTCCAAAAATGATTGTCCAACTTTACTAAAACGTTGCTTCACCTGCCCAAATTACACCCTAATTTTTTTTTTTTTTTGGGAAAAACTTAATAATTAATCTCAAACTCTCAGAAGTCATTATAGTAAGGATTAAATTGCTGAATTGACCCATTGAAAAATCCTTCTTTCTGACAAAGTGAAAGCAGTAGTATAAGATTAAGGTCGGTTATGGTGACTTGGTAAACAGATTAGTACATACACTGTATCTGACCAAATAAAGAAGTATTGTAAAACGTCATTCAGGTTAGTTATGGATTAATCAAATACTTTTATAAGCAGAACACAAAATCTTTCAAAAAAGTAAAACGTCATTCAACGTGTTGTTATGTTCAAACTGCATACATATAGAACATGCAAGTTTTTTCGTGTATTTTTTTTTTTTTTCACTGAATATATTTATCTGATAGTCAAATGAATTGACTTGTAATATATTTACCAAAAATACATATATGACTTGGCACATGGCATTACAATACTGTACACGGAGAGAGAAATTCCAAGCTGATGACTTGGAATAAGATTGGCTGGTACTTGGTCGTACATATTTCACTCGGTGTTCAATGGTAAACAAGAGTCGTCTGAGCCCTATAAATACTAAACCTTCCTATCTCCCAAAGCCATCACCAACAATTAATACATCTTGTTCTTTATCCTCCATTATTGTGTGTTACTACTTCTCATCATTTCACCCAAAATCATCCTTTGTATCAATCATTTCTCGATTTCTCGAAAAAGATCATGGAACTTGAGCAACCCATGTTGAAAGACACTCGTCGTGACCCAACGACGGATCTACTCCATGTCAAGGTCATGAATATGACAAAAGCATGCAGTCTTCAGGTTTCAAAATCGTTTCGGATGCTCGAAAATGATGTGCCGAATGGCCCTCCCCAAGGAAAACTAGCATGGTTAAGGTCTCAAGTCATCGGCAGTGACGTGGAGTTTGACACTCCTTTTGGAAAGCGTCGGCTTACCTATGCCGACTACACTGCCTCTGGCCGATGTCTTCAGTTCATTGAGAAGTACATCATTGAGAAGGTTCTTCCATTCTATGGTAAGCTTGCTTAAGTATAATTTTTTATGTCAAATATTAGGTTTATATCTCATATTTTGCAATTGCAATTAATTTTTTCACTTAAACATCAAAATTGAAAACTGTCCATTTGTGTTAATAGGGAATACTCATACAAGTGACAGTTATGTGGGGGATCAAACTACAACAATGGTGCATGCGGCAAGTAAGTATGTCAAGTCTTGCTTAGGGGGCAAAGAAGAAGATGCACTACTGTTTGTTGGCTCAGGCACAACCGCAGCCATTAAACGGCTTCAAGAGGTTATGGGAATTGCTGTTGCATCAACTATGAAGAACAGGGTTTTGAATAGCCTTAGGAGTGAAGAAAGATGGGTTGTTTTTGTTGGGCCATATGAACACCATTCGAACCTCCTCTCGTGGCGCCAAAGCTTAGCAGAAGTTGTAGAGATCGGTCTAGATGAAAATGGCCTAATCGATATTGCAGCTTTAAGACAACACCTCGAGTCATACCAGCACACAAATCGCCCCATGTTGGGTTCTTTCTCAGCATGTAGTAATGTCACCGGAATTTACACTGACACGCGCTCCCTTGCTTCACTTCTTCATCGATATGGTGCTTTTGCATGTTTTGATTTTGCTGCAAGGTACATAAAAAGTTTTTTTTTTTTTTTGAGTTATGATGTTTAATTTCTGTAGGACATAGTACAACTTTTATTTTTTTTTTATTTTTTCTTTCTAAAATACATGGTAAGATTGATAATTGCTTTGCCTTAATTATGTGTAGTGGTCCTTATGTGGAGATTGACATGAGATCCGGTGAGGTAGATGGATATGATGCAATATTCCTTAGTCCACATAAGTTCGTCGGGGGACCAGGTACTCCCGGAATTCTTCTAATGAGCAAAGTCCTTTATCAATTAGGATCTTCACCGCCTTCAACATGTGGTGGAGGAACTGTTAGCTTTGTCAATGGATTCAATGAAGAGGTATGTAGATATGATTCTCTTTAACCTAATCTCGATCTATGTGCTAATATGAGAGTATAGGACGTCATATATAAAGTTAGCCTAGATGATTTTATGGTTTCATTCCAATCCAAGTTTGCTAATATACTGCCTGCGTTTCAGGACACACTGTATTATGACGATGTGGAAGAGAGAGAAGATGCCGGAACTCCTCCAATTATTCAGAAAATAAGAACAGCAATGGCTTTCTCGTTAAAAGAATACATTGGTTATGAAGTGATCCAAAAGCAGGAGCACTATTTCATAGACAGAGCGCTTGACCGGCTTTTTGCAAATCCAAACATTTGGGTATTAGGAAATAATAGTGTAAAAAGGCAAGCTATCTTGTCCTTTCTCGTGTTCTCCACAACAAATTCCTCATTTCATGACTTAAAAAACAAGGCAAGTGATGGAGGAATTTCCATTTGGAGAGAGTCTGGAAACATGAGAGATAAACCCCTTCATGGCCCTTTTGTTGCAAAGCTCCTCAATGACCTTTTTGGCATCCAGGCTCGTGGTGGTTGTGCTTGTGCTGGACCTTACGGTCACCATCTTCTTCATGTCGATGAGCCTCATTCAATTTCCTTCAAATCCGCCATCCAAAAGGTACCCAATTCACCATTTCCTTACTACTAAATTGCGGACTTAGTTATTAAATGTATAGACTATCATTTCAGTTTTTTAGATCTTAATATATGATAAATTTTGACAGGGTTACCACGGAGTGAAGCCTGGATGGACACGAATCAACTTCGCTTACCACATGTCAGTAGAAGAGTTCGAGTTCATTCTTGCTGCATTGGAATTCATAGCCATGTATGGCCAAAGGTTCCTTGTGCTCTATGACTTCGACTGGAAAACAGGCAATTGGACATTCAAGAAGAAGGCATTCAAAGAGATTCAAGCAATCAAACAATGCAAACAAGAATTCAATAATTTGTTGATCAATCGAGCTTTCCAAACCGCCAATTCTGAAGACAATAATGCAATTGCTGATAACACTACTATTGAGATGATTCACAAATATGTGTCTTACTTGGAAACAGCAAAAGAAGTTGCTCATTCTCTCCCTAAGTTTCCTCCTCCTAGAAAGGTTCCGAAAGAGATTGATCTTGATCTCGTGCAGTTCAGAATTTAGCCCCGTTCATCTCCATTTTTTTATTCGTTTTATTTTTATTTTTATTTTTTGGCATCTAATCCAGCAACAAATGCTGACATTTACCTTGAGTTGTATATTGTAATGTGGAGCTTTTGCACACTAAAGATAAGTTATTCTTTTTTTTGTATCGGAAAAATAAATGAATAAAAATTTGGAATATCTTATTCCTTTTTTTTCCCTTTGTTTGTTGTGTTCTTTTCTTCATTTCTAAATCTTTGTGGTTGTTTTCTCAGTATTAGTCCGTTCGAGAAGAGGAAAATGGAAGAAAGAGAGAAAACAATATATATATATATATATATATATATATATATATATATATATAGATGATAAAGATCATGAATGATTTTCATGTTATATTATCATGCCTATAATATGGCATATAAGTTGGCACCCCAGTGTAATCTAAAAGAAATTTTTTATAAGAGAAAATAAGAAAAAGGAGAGGAACCTAAAACAAAGGAGAGAAACAACAAAAACACTTGTAGAGATACAAATATTTATCTTTCCAAGGGTAAAAATACAAATTTTGTGATTGAGAAATATATGTAAGATATTTTCTTATATTTGTGGCCCACATGATTTGGACACGTGATTTATTTTTATTATTTGGTGATTAAATAAAATAGATATCAAATTAATATTATATTATTTGGTCAACTTATAAATTACCTTTTTGGTAATTAATTATTGAATAAATGTTTTCCTATTTATTCCTTACTTTGATGGAAAGTGGAATTACAATTACTAAAAAGGAAAACTGATACTCTCTCTGCCTTTATAAAAGTGCATATATCCCATCAACTATGTACGCTAATGAAATAACACGTATAATGTTTTTATGTGTGCAAAAGGCTAAGAGAGAGAAACCAGTTTCCACACATGTTTGGCTATTGTTTGTACTTACAGTTTATTACGTTATTCGTTCCGGAAAAAGGATCTCGATGTTTGGCTTGATCTCAACAACATTTGCAATTACAAATCGAGATATTTATATCTAAGTACTTTATTTATGTATTATAGCAATATGAAGATAATGAAGTTCTAAGATCTTATGATTCATATTTATTTGTGATTAATGATTTGCACGAATAATTAAAGTTTACATGTAGTATCAGAGTTTACGGTTTAAGAACTCATTATTTTCCTCTATATAAATAATGTGTAAATATAAAGTAAAATTAAATATTTATATAATTTAATTTTCTTATGGAATATATATATATATATCTATATATATATATATAGTATTTGTTTTTGATCGATCTCATGGAACTATTCATGAATTACCAAATATATGGGTTTGTAATTTGGATCAATTACCGAATATAAGACAATTCATGAATTACCGTAGTAATAGTATGAATAGCCTGGTAACGCCCCATCTGGTATAGATTGAAACTGCTAACAGGTTGAGGTTGCCATATAATTATTGCTTTAGAATTTATATTTTTTACATGACTGGCATAAAGACAAACAAGATACATGTATTAGTTTCTTGATCTTTGTGCACAATTGGAGTAACATATGAATGTGGAAGGTTCTTAAATAGCTTCAGTATGTTATTGTCTTTAAGAAACTTATTATTATATTAATAGATGTCCAATGATTTCAAAGAATCTATTTTAGTTATTTAAAAGTTAATAAATTATGAAATACATAAAGTATGCTTATTTACTTATTTTATTATCTAAATTTTTAGGATAAACTTGACTATATAAATTTGATCTTATTAGACATATAAATAAATTATCGTTTTGTACCCATACATTCATATATGATGGAGAGTCAATTTTAGATTGATTCAATTATGGTCTCTAAGTCCAGAAATAAAATATATATATAAAAAAAATGTTTTATTATGTAAATAAAATAAAAGAATATTTTTATTAATTTTTTAGACTCTTAAGTTTATGAGATCAAAGTTGTTTAAATTTCAATCAACAAGTATAAGTATATGTGTATAATATTAAATGGGTAAATTAATGATTAATTAGTTACTAGCTAATTTAATATTCATATTACGTGAGGGTTAGTAGCTACCAAAGTGGCCAACTCCTCGCTCATCACTTTTCGACTCGCTTCATCAGTCCTCGACTCCTCTCTGTTCGTCGCCTCGCGTCACCGACTCCTCAAGTCTCAACTTCATTCTTCAGTCCTCCTCAAGTCCTCAGTTCTTCAGTCCTATCATCTTCAGATCTTTTCATCGCAGCTATCATCGATGCCCACACACCATCTCAGATATCTCATCGCCGATGCCCACACACCATCTTTAGATCTTCTTATCGTGGCTATCTATAATTTTTTTTTTTTGTTCATTGTGAATGTTCAATCGTTAATTGGAACAATATCTTTTTTGTTGGGTGTTCATTTTACAGATCTACTATCTATGTTATTGTTTTACCCTGCATACACACACACACACACACATACACTTAAAGGCTCAAAGCCTTCAATAGGAAAAAAAGAGCAAACAATTAGTGAGAACCGTGGAATCGAACCAGAACAGTAGGCTTGGTTCCGGTTCAGTTCCATACCTATACGGTTCCGGTTTCAGTTCTGTTTTCAAGGAACCGTCGTGAACGGTTCCGGTTCTGGTTTCGACCGGAACTGTGAGAACTGAAACTGTGTGCACCCCTATATATAGGATATCTAAAGGTAACTTATTTATTTAATTAAATAATGTATCACCAATGAAGGTATACATATAAATACATCTAAGCATCATTATTAGTATTTTATAGTTGCCACCTAAAGAGGTACTATAGTTATACATTGTATTTATATTTTAATTATATATACGTATTGTTAACTCAAAGCATTATTGTTGTGAGTATTTTATCTTATTATGTTTGTTTTATTATATCCTTTAATTTGCTTGCTATATTTGTTATGATTCTCAATAGGACTAACATCTCATAATGGAATGAGTAAGTTAAGTTCAAAATTTAGGTGTGCTAAATCTTGATTTATCATTTTAAATTGAGAAATCTATTGTTATTATCGATAATGACAGTGAAGAAGAAAAGATTCTCCATAAAGTTTGGGAGAGATCGAACAGATTAAATATTATGGTTATGCGAATAATTATTCCCCATAATGATAGTGCTAAGAAATATTTGACTATAAGAATGTTTTCGTATTATAGATAAATATTTATATAGAAAATTATTAATTGATATCACTACTATGCATTTTTGTTGGTACTCGTATCATAGATGAGCATATTTTTAGATGACTAATGTTGTTGCAAAATTGAGAACCTTATGGATGATTGTGGATGTGAATTTTCTTATTCAATTTATTCTCAATTTCTTGTCTACTCAGTATGGATCATTTTAAATTAACATTATTAAGACAAGTGAAAAGTGAATTAACTGACCATTATATTAATTTAGGAGGAGACAAGGCTTAAGCAGCAAGGTAATCATTATGGTCATCTGATTACTAAAGAAGCTATAAATAAAATTTGGGAATAAGCCTAAAAAGGCATTAAGTGAGTAACACCCAAAATTAAAAGATTTAGGTCAATCTACTAAAAGAAAGGAATTTAATAATGAAAAAGTGTCATTTATATATTGAACACTTTTAGAAAGATTACATGAAATATAAAGAATGATTCGAAAAAGAATGATAAGTTTTTGACTTTTGTATATTTCGAATTACTTATTGAAATTCTTTCTAATACATGATAGGTTGACTTAAGTACTAATGTGTATGTTTCTAATAGATGCAATAATTTCTTATGGCCTAAATTACAAATTCAAATTTGAATTTCTTATTGATGAGAATTGGAAAAAAAAATTTGTTGAAATCATTGTTACATTATGTTTAATGTTAGACAGTGGATTTTATTTAAATTATTTTAAGTACTTTTTATGTTTATTCAATTCCCTATTATTTGATTATGTTTCAAAACTTTATGTTAATGGTTTTTTATTTAAATTCGATAATGATGTTTATTTAAAAAATTCTAATTTGTGAGTTATGGTATTATTGTTGATGATTTCTGTAAATTCAAACTTGATAGTTTAATTCATAATGTTAAAATTAAGCGTAGCTCAATTAATAGAAAATGTATCTTTCTTGTGACATAAAAGACTAGGTCAATATCTAGTGAAAGGTTAGGAAAATTAGTAAAGGATGTGATTCTTCTAAATCTAAATTTTAATAATTTTGGTGTGTGTGTAGATTGTATTAAGGGTAAACAAACCAAACACACAAAAAAATGAGCCATAAGAAGTACATAGCTTCTTGAAATTATTCATACAGACATTTATAGACCTTCTGATGTTCCATCTTTTGGTGGAGAAAAATATTTTATCGCCTTTATAGTTAATTTTTCACATTATGGATATATCTATTTACTGCACGAAAAATCTCAACCAGTAGGTACTCTCGAAGTATACACAAATGAGGTTGAAAAACAACTAAATACAAAATTAAAAATCATAAGGGCATATAAAGGTGGTGAATATTATGGAAAGTATGATGAAATGGGCCAATGCCTTAAACCGTTGAACTGTTTGCTAAACTCCTTGAAATGCATGGCATTTGTGCTCAATACACTATGCTAGGCATGCCACAACAGAAGCGTGTAGCTGAAAGACGTAATCGTACTCTTATGGATATGGTTAGCAGTATGTTAAGTAATTTCCTGTTACTCATAATCTAAAGGGTGTATGTTTCACTGTCCTGAAACTGAAAATGTCAGATTTATTGAGAATAGTGAAGCCAGTGGGAGTGATAAAAATAAGAATGTGATCATTCAAGAAGTTAGGGTATAAATTCATTTACCCATAACTTATAAGGAAATAATTATTCCTTAGTTGTTGAACCGTATAACAACGAAGAATAATTGAATGATCAATAACTCCATGATGAGATTGTCACCAATGAATAGATTGTAAAAGAACCACAATCAATAACATTAAGATGATCTCAAAAAGGAGATTGTTATTCAGGATGACTATGTGGTATATTTGCAAGAATCTGATTTTGATATTGAGATATATAAGGATCCGGTTACATATTCACAAGCCATTGACAGTAATGATTTTACTAAATGGATTAGTACCATGAATGAAGAGATTATAAAGAAACCTTCTCTACAATATTTAAGAAGGATTCTCTTAAAATATCATGACATTAGTAGCCTATTATGATTTAGAGTTACATCAAATAGATGTGAATACAACTTTTATGAATGGGAGTTTAGAAGAGGAAGTCCACATGGAACAACCTGAAGGCTTTACATTAGAGAGTA